CCCTAAGAAAGAATGATAGAGATAAGAGGATAATAAGAGAATGAATAATAACAAATAAATTACTAATATAAAGAAGAAGAAAAAAGGAGGACATAATGTAGGGGCCTTACCTTATATTGGTTAAAGTTTAGAATTTTGTTAATATATGTATAAATTTGTTGTATATATTATTGAATTATTTGTTATTTTAAGATATTTATATGTTATTGTAAACATGAGAAAACAAAAAATATCTAATAATAGATAGAAAGAGGAAAATTAAGTAAAAAGATATATAATGATAGATGATGATATAAAGGGTGACTAAGCACGAATAATATTAGATAAGGATAAGGAGAGAAATAATAATAACTAATAAATTATTAATATAAAAAGAGAAAGAAGAGTACATATAATTAGAGTGAGAAAAAGTGAGTGCAAATTAAGAGATAGTATTGTAAGAAAAATTATTGGAAGATATGAGAAATGGTATGGAGATAAAAAGGTACCAATCAAATAATGCTAAAAGGTTGACTTCTAAATTTTGCACTAAATCTATAACTACCTTAAATTCAAATTTAAAAATAATAATTTCTTAATTAGTGTGTTGACAAGTATATCTAATCAAAAGATGTACCAATTATTTTTCAAAAAAGAAATATATAACAGTAATAATTATAGATACAAAAATAAATGAAATTAATGAAGATTTGATGAACTATTCTATAATATTTATCTCAAAAGATTAATTGATATGAAAGTTGCATAGTTGTTTATAATAAATTAATATATGTTTAAAATGACTTTTCTATTCATTAACAAAAAATTGATTTTAATTATAAATTAATATTATTTTATTTAATAATTATTAAAAAAATATAATACAAACAAACCATGTGTAGCACAATTTTAAAACCCAGTTATATTATATATTTATTTATTAATTTAAATATATAATTAATTATAAACTTAATAAGGTTGAAAATGTAGCCCAAATATGTTACATATTTTGAGTTTTATGGAACTATTAATAAAAAGTTAAAATGAAGTTTATGGTTGGTTTTTACTGTTAAACTTGATGTAATGCTCTTGTAGAAAGATATAATATTTCTACTAATAAATGATTGGAGCTTTTGGCATTATAATATTGTTGAAGAAATAAGGTAGAAGATCTGTAAAAGGCTTCAAAGCGTATTGCAAATGCCACTTTTCTTTAGACTAATTTCACCCCCACCATATCTAGTATGCAAAGGGAGTAAATCAAAATTCCCGTATGATACTGTAATATCCCCAAATTTTAGGGACTTAGTTGTGAGAGATTTTTATTAATGGACTTAATAGTAAAATGCTCTGAAGTCAAGGGGCTTAAAAGAAAGCAATCTGGGTAAGGTCGGCAAGAATTTCCTTTTTATTTCTTTCTTTTTCTTCCTTATCCAGTCGCGTGTCCTGTTTTTCCTCTTCCCCGACCCTCTGCAAGCCGACAAGCCCCAGCTACCGCCACCCTTTTTTCCGGCCGGGAACACTGGTAAAACTTGGAGAAGTCTCCTCCTTTTCTCGTTCTAGGACATCTATTCAACCCAGAACTTTTCCAGATCTGCTCTCTTCCCTCTGCCGTGAGTTCCCTGCTGCTGGGTGCGAAATTCTGGGCTTTTTTCGTTCTCTGTGAATTTTCGCCCCTGCCATACCCGCCGGATCTGGTTTTGCTTGCTAGAAATTTCGGTACTTGATTATTCTGCACTCTAGCACTTGGGATTAGTGTTCTGTTGGTGCGATTGAGGTAAGTAAATTATGGTAAAGCTCTTCGATTTCAAAGCATGTTTTAATTGTTTTTGAGATGGTGGCAAGGTTTTAATTGATTTTAAATTGATTTTACCAGCACTTGAGTGTGATTAAACTGAAATGGAAGTTTTGATGATTTTAATGAGAATTTCATGGTTTTTTTGGAAATGAGCATGATTGATTTGAAAGAAGATTATTAGTCTTTTGTATTGATCTGAGCATGCCTACTTGAAATTTAAGTGATTGTCCTGATGATTTGAAAGCGATTGGTGAATTAAGATTTTTCTGTAAA